TCCCTCATTAGTAGTCCCTTTTGCTCGGTTGTGCGTTCCATTGAACTCTTGCATGTTGCTGTACTAGCGTCTGCTGCTGGTTGGTTGTGGTTGTTGTCCTTCACATGGAGGGGAGGGCGGTGTTGGGGATATTGGGAATCTCCCAGATATGACACTGCAGCCCTCCTCCACCAGATTTAGCAATGACAAAGCCTGCAGTACATCGGTAAATGGGCATTGCACTCTGAGGTCGAAGGGGGTAAAACCGGCTAACCACATACTGATCATTCAGTAAAAAATCAACTTAGTATCAAAAGCCAAAGCATGTTTGTCAGCGTGATTCTCATTCCCCATATGTGACTGTTATTTTCAAGTAATGACTAATGAAGAACATTTCCCATAAGAAACAACTAATCAACTAAAATGTTCTAAGCTGAGCTGACTTGTGGCAGTCTTAGTTTTCAGTGTTCAATGCAACACTAATAAAAATGAACACACTGTGTGCTTGTACAGTGAGGTCTAAAACATTACCACAAAGAATACCAACACATGGATGAATAACAAGAGATTGAGTGGCAGTTATGGGAGGAAAACTGCGCCGACTGCCAAAAAATGAGGAAGAGTGTAAAGAATTAACAGGAGGGAGGCAGTCACTGTCTACTTAATGTATGCATGTTTGTTTTAGCTGATCTATGGGAATTTCCATATGGCAACCCCTCCCTTCACCTAAAGACTTAAGCTAAGTCTGTCACATTTGGCTGTCATATTTAGCTGCAGTCCATATCAGTACTGACTTAATTCTTCTTTGAAGTTCTCTCTCTGGATTCTTAATGATATTAAGGCATTATACTTGTCACTGTAGGCCAAGGAGGTCTGACGAAAGACGTCCTCTTTTCTTGTTGATTTGCCTTGTATGAATTCTTGAGGTCAGTGGGTTTGTTATTGTGCCTTTTTTTTAATGCAGCAGGGTAAATTGTCTTCCCATTGCTATGTGGAATTTCATATTGGATTTCCTTTGCTGACAAAAAGAGCAATCAAATGCAGCCAAATGAGAAACAGAGATGAAGAGAGAGCTAATGAAGGGAGGGAGGGAAGGAGGGAGGGAGGGAGGCTGCAAAAATGTTGAAATGTTGGTTTTCCTCAGCAACACCACTGCTTTAAATTTACACATTCATACTGGGAGTTGTCCAATATGACCGCTGTGTCCTACTGGTGCAAGTAAGAACTGCATTGACTCTACCTGGTAATGACACAGCTAAAGACAGAAGGGTTATTTATCAGAGATTATGTGGTCGTTAGAAGATTAATATCCTCGAGGGGCAAAAGACTCGGCTGACTTTCATCTCAGACCTGCCCTGACAGAGAGAGTGAGGGTTGGATAGACAGAGAGAGAGGGCTGAAAGAGGTAGAACAGTGTCAGAAGAGTCTTCAAACACACCAGTGTAGGAGTGTGTGTGTGTTTGTGTGTGTGTGTCTGTGTGTGTGTCTGTGTGTGTGTGTCTGTGCATCACTTTAACCCCATAATGAGTAGCCTTGAGGGGGTCCACATCCATTTGGCAGTTCTTCATTTCCTGATTTGAAAAAAGAAAGCACTATTTGCGCTTTTATCTTTTCAGCAGCAACAAACAGCCCCCCCCGACACACACACACACACACACACACACACACACACACACACACACACAAACACACACACACACATATCCTGTATATATATGCACAAATGAATTCACACACACTGGTTTTGGTCTTACCACAAGGACTTGCGCAATTAAGCCTGTTTCGCCCTCACAAGCCGATTGTACGTCTTTATAGGCTATATATGTATATGTTAATGTGCATTTGTGTGCGTGTGTGTGTGTGTGTGTGTGTGTGTGTGTGTGTGTGTGTGTGTGTGTGTGTAGGCTGTAATTAAGCAAGATCTAACCCTGAGGGTTGGGGAATTAGCCCTGACTGAAGATCAGAGGATTTTTCACTCATGTCTGCGACATGGAAGAGTGAAATCAGAGGTTTGGAGCCAGACAGACAGATTCTGACCTCAGATAGCAGATAATGGCGGCTTCTTCCTCTCTCTCTCAAACACACATACAAACACACTTTGATGCTACCGACAGCTTCAGGTGGATTTAAAGTTCATCTCTTAAAGTGTTAAGTTGAACTGCTTTTGCGGAAGTTCACATCAATCAAAACAACAGCATGCTTTTAGTGTCACTGAGTTTGGTTATGGTTATGTTTGGAAGCTGAAACTACTTGGTAAAGGCCAGGGAGTGACTGCCTCATGGTTCAGGAAAACCATCGAACTCTGGTGTTACAAAAAGGTTAAAAACCTCCACGGCCGTACTTTTTGCTCTGCTGCAAGAACATCATGCTACAAAACATAAAAGATAGATCATCAACTACAATGTCATTTTCTTAGAAAGGACAGTTTGACTTCCAATGGATGCACCTGGGTTCAACATGGCAGTTATTGATTGATTAGACCTCATGCATACCTAAAAAGGGTATCTAAATGATTCCATATTCTTAGTGGTGGTTATATACTCAGGATTCAAACCAGGATTGGGGATTTTTAGTTTTCCACTGACAGAATTATTATGTTATTGTAGATTGTTGAGAAGAAAATCACTGGACAATTAATGTGTAAATAAAAAAATCATTAACTGTAGTTACTTGTAGTATTGAATGACAAATGCACTTTGTTACCCTATAAGTTAAAAAGCTCTCTGTTGGATATTCTGCCGCATGAGTTTGAATATAATGGCCCCTTGTATTTAATTCAGGACTGTTTGTGTGAGTGGATGTGATGCAGGTGTGTTATCAACAGGGTTTAGGGTGTCTCAGGGCCCCTCATATACAGCCAGAAAACACACACTTTCAATGAGTACAATATACAGTATATATACACATATATACAGCCAACTGCTTTTCTTTCTTTCTTTCTTTCTTTCATGCACACAGTACGTAGTAATTAACACTCAAAGAGACTCCATGAGAAATGTACTTAATGACAGTAATTACTGGTGTGTTTGTGTATATCTACAGTATGTGATAGTTTGTCTTACTGATCCAAAGAACACAACTATGACTTAAAATACAATACTTATAGTTTTCTGTTTTATTGTATGCATTCTGTTTAATAGCCAGAAAATATATTTATCCACTCTCTGAGTTGATCAAAGGAATCTGCATTTGATTCCCCAGGCCTTTTGACACTGATATGGTGGTGTTAGTTCTAAATATTAAATGTGACCTTGTAATTACTTGTAGATTAGAAGCAAAATAGAAATGGAAGAAGTAATTTAACACCCACAAGCTCCACAGTATTTGTGGAGGAAGCCTCAATGTTTCAGCAGTCATTCATCATGTCCTTATCTGTGCAGTCACACTGTCAGAGACCACACACACACACACACACACACACACACACACACACACACACACACACACGCACAGAATTTCATTCTGGAAGATAGGGTAAACATATTTGAAAGTGGTGGTACGCTTGGGAAAGTGCGATGTGCAGTAAAATTTACATGACTTGTAGTGTGGCCCTTAAAAGAAAAACGTGGTTATTTACTAATACATGCAAGCTGCTTGTGCTGTGTCAGTTTTTTATAGGCATTCAAAGAAAACAGGCAGAATTGCTTGGTGTTTTACTGTCAAGTAACCAGTCAGCAAAGCAACAAGGCTGCTTCAAGTTGCTTCTCTGCACATGTTCTTACAATTCTAAATAAGCTACAGTTTGATCTGTTTTAATGGGTTCTGATGGCAGTGACTGAGATGTTTATGGTCACATTATGTTTTTTTTTTTTTGTTTGTAAGTTGCTCTGAATCTTTGGATGACTAATTCTGGGCTCATCGTTTAGATCCAAACAACGGCTTAAGAGGTGATTCTTTACTGAGGACCCTCGCCAACACATCTCCTTTTCATTACAATGACGACATTATTTAGACACACTCACAAACACAAACACATACACACACACACACACACTAATGCTGCATGCTCAGTTCAGACCACTGCAGGACAAACACACAGTAAATACAATCACAAGCACGACCTTGCCGACACATAAAGAAGAAGAAATTAACAAACAATTACACATTACCACAGAGTATGTTGAGTCATGCTGGACTCTCGCACATTTTATGAAGTGTTGCCAACAAAAGTACGCCCAAACACCAGCCATCAATTCACAGTTTGAGACATTGCTCTCTTCCTTGGTGCTTTCAGGGGCTTTTACACCTTAACATGTCTGTTTTCTCACCAAAGTCATTAAGAGAATATTTCAGCTTGGTTGCTAAAACAAAAACACAATCTTGTATATGGTGTTGAAATGAATTAGGTCCACTTCATCATCGCAGCCACTGTGTTTGTGGAGGACCTGATGTAGCATCTCAACCATTTAATAACTGCTTTTGTTTAACTTGTTTTTGGTGTTTTTTTTAATATATTGATCATTTTGATTTTATATTATTCTGGGGATTTCAGAAATTGCATCTTAAACCTAATTTTACAGCCTCATTCAGTACAAAGTTACTGTGACGTAGACCTAGTACTATAGTTACTAACATCCACAGGTGTGAAACTACACCCATAAGCAGTTTTTCCTAGCTGTTTGGATAGGTTAGCCCAGCCAGAGATAGACATAACATAGAAATAGGCAGATAATTAAATGTTATTAAGTGCTATCACCAACCTTTATTGAAGCAGAAGGTTAGCCAGCGGTGATGTGTACTTGTGCTTATGAGCCAGAGGAATGCCATGGGCTGTTCTGCTGCTATTACATGTTTATTGGCGATGACGTGATGGTAACGGGACAGTGAATTCATCGGGACCACACATGCAAACACACACACACACACTGACGACACTACTGTTGGCAGGAGTGTTAGATTCATGACTTTGCTGTTTCGTAAGTGAAGTTTGGTGCACTAGCTTAAATGCATGAAAGCATTGTATGCAGTTAATGCTGTATATTTACAATAAATAAATTGTAATTTTTATCTCTGTTCCACAGGAAGAAGACGCAAAAATGTCAGAGAGGAGAGGTCAGAAGAAGTCCATTTTTCTGTCCTCATTATTAGTAAGTTTTGTTTTTATTTGTTTTAGTTTTTCTTAATTTCATTTTCCATTGCAATGTAACTTATTTTCTTTGACTCTGTCTCGATTCATTTCCTTTTCAATACACCCTCGCCCCTCTCCTATTTCTTTTTCTATTTCTCATCCTCCTGTGCTTCACCTCCTCCTTACTTTCTCTTCTTCATGCCCTCTTTAAAACACCATCAAGCAGCAGTATTTATCTAAAGTCATATTTCTGCTATTGGCCTTCAGAGACCCTTATTGCTCCAACAGTATATGGATGGCAGCCATAACTGACTCCACAGTTGGCACTGCATCATCCAGACTTCAGCTGTTATGTGCCAGCAGCTTGCACAGCTCCGCAGCACTTGTACCAATTATTCAACCTTAGAGCTTTCTACAGAGCAGATATCTTTATAATCTGACCGGGAATCTAGAGATTCGCTGCGTGTTTTGATGTTGAAACCCACTGGCGGTGCTCCCAACAGATGCCTCCACCTGACCCTCCCGCTTCTGTTTTCTTCTCATCAGTCATATAAATGTACCTACAGGCTGGCACTGGAGCCCTTAAAAGGGAAGAAATATTTGGATAAAGTCAGTGGTTTCAAGTGACTACACCGCCATCCAATGACATTACAAGTATACTGCCACAAATGTTCAATCCCCTTACATCTATAGACTGCACTTGTAAACAATATATAACAATGATAAATGACTTACCAGACATTATGCTGCTATTGTCATACAGTTCATTAGACAGAGACAATATTACTATAGAGGAGATGAGGCACTAGAAGTGGTAAAAGACATTTTTCTGACTCTATGTTGTTATAATTCACCAGCGTTCCTGCCAAATACTAACATCAATCCAACTTAGATAACTGTATGTGGTGCACATGTGCAGAGATGTATGCTGTATTTTATGGGGCCTGACTGAATATCCTCTCAAGGCATTTTGGGATGGCTGTGTAGAACTGATGTGGTGTATTAGTGTGACAGGAAGTTTGTTTTTCCAACAGTGGAAAAATATGGAGGAGAAGCTCATTATTACAGTCTCTTCAAAGACAAATAAAGTGCGGCTCATTGCAAAGTTGCACAAACTGTTGGAGAGAGCTTATGTAAACAACGCCTGCTTGTAATTGCCTACAGTGACCCTCGAATGTGTTGACACACCAACAAAGAAGAATAACGTTTTGTACAAATTTAAACATAATAATAGGATGCTCGTGTTGTTAGTTACCTCGAGGTGTCAAAGGGGCACTCCACCAATTTTACACATGAAGTCCAGTTTAAGTCAAGTTGCATTTACAGTAAATACACATCGGGTGTGTAGGCTAAAGGTCAGTTCCTTTTTGATCTGGTTTGAATTATAGACAAATTATTTGGCCTGAGATGATGCAAATACTCCATATGCACACACACACACACACACACACACACAGACACAGACACATACACAGACACACACACACACACAGACACACACACACACACACACACACACACACACACACACACACACACACACACACACACACACACACACACACCTACACTGGCAGTGTACATTTGTATTATTTACTCAAACAGCATCTTGTGTCTGTCTGCTGTCATGTGATGGTTCTGAGGAAGAAGAAAAAGCGAGGGGGATGTTATTAAAACAATAGAGAGGAGATGGAGAGAATTAGTCATGCACTCGTTTAGTTTCCCTCCATCATTTTCTGGACTGCAGATGATTTTTAAAAGTCAGTTAGTTTGTTTGGAAAAGCACAAAGTATGCTGGTAAGGCCATAAATACCAGCTGCTACTTATTACAGTGAGCCACTATGACACAATGCCACACACACACACACACAAGCAAATGCTGGTATTGTGCAAACTCTCTCATACACACACACACACACAGCCAACAATGATCTCCACTAATCTGAGTATCACAGAGGAAGAGGTCTGGGTACGATGTTTGTTTTCTTCGCTGTTTGTTTTTTTGCCAATTAAAATGATGATGCTGATTTGATGCTGACACGGTTGGTGTTTCTGAATAAACCAGCCATTATCCCATGCAGCCATTTATCTCTGTTGTTGTTGCAGATGTTGAGTGTGGATCATAATGAATTTTTAAATGTCTGAAACAGAAACAGGGAAATGTACAAGATGGTATGTGTTTCCCCCAGTTTTATAGGAAATAATAAATTAAACATGTTAAATGACAATTTATCAAGTTCATCTGCAGTCACCGGTCGACCAGTGACATGCTGTGATGCAGTTTATTTGATGACATACTATATTTATTACAGAACTGATCAATACTGTCCTGCTATCTGATGTTGAATCTTAGTGTAAATATCTGAACACGTTAAACTTGCATTTGTTTTCTAGATTTGGGTTTTACAAAGAAAGTTCAAGATAAGTAATTTAACCCAAATTAATTGCTGGGTTCACCACTGTAAGTCTGTTGGTCAGACAAAATTGAGAACATGTTTGGCGTTGAACATGCATTTTTTTTTTGTTTGTTTTTTTGACATTTTAAACATGAAAGAATAATCAATACATAAGCACCAGAATAATCAGTCCACTGAGATATCATTCTAAATGGTTCAGATAGAACTTTGCATCAGAGATCTAGAGAAGATTTAGAGAAGCTAAAAATGAATAGTAATAGTTAACAATATGATACAGAATGTATTTACATAAATGTATTTGTTTTGAAATGTAATGTCTTATTTTGATGTTCCATATCATTTATCACTGCAATATGATAACAGAAATATATATTGAAATAAAAGAAGAGTAAATCAATAAAAATTTTTTTTTTACAAGGCTCGAGCCTCAATACCAAATATTAACTTTACATATTAGTGTATGTATCCAAACTAGCCTCACCATCATTTGTTTCATCTTTTTTAATCATTTAATACATTTGTTTTGACATGTATTTTCATTTTAATAATATTGTTTAGTTTTAGCAGGTTAGATCATCTGGATGTGATGGCTCCTTCAGTAAGACATTTAAACCTCAGTTCCAGTATTAGATACAGTTTGTTATTTGCAAAGAGTAGCGAAGTCTTCTGCAGCAGCACTGTAAGAGTGTCACTGCATTAGTATGAATTTGTCATTTTTGTTCTCACACATAATGCGTTACAATTTCTTGGTCAAAGTCTTACTTTTGTCTCTACCTGTCTGTCGTTCTGTCCCTGCAGGTGTGTTGCATGTTTGCTAGTGCGGAGTATTCCAGCTGTGGAGAGAACGAGTTCTTCAACCAGACCAGCAACAGCTGCCAGGCCTGTCCTCAGTGCCAGCCAGGACAAGAGCCGCATATGGTGAGACACACACACACACACACACACACACACACACACACACATAAACACATGTACACACATGTATGAATGAAAACCATTAATTTAGGTCATAATCGTCTTTGTTACTATACTTAAGTAGCTTTTTTTTTAAGGGCACCTAAACATTTTGAGCACATTTTAAAATCAGTTGTCAGGATAAAGCTGCCAATTCAGCATCAAATTGTGACCATCCAAAATCAATAAACAGCATGAAAAACTGACCTCACGAACCTATGTGTCACTTTTGTTCAGACCACCCACAATACATACACAAACACACAGAAGTGCACACATAGCTGCACAGTGAAGAGTGCCTAAATTCAAATTTCTTTATGGTTTATTGCCCCCATTGACTTCAATGTGAAGGCATGCATTACAGTGATTGACTTGCAGTAGTCACATAGTGATTTAGCCTCCGTCAGTCAGCCTGCTGACAGCCAAAGAAAACAGAGAGAAGGTAAATGCTTCAGTGGGCACCCCGGGGTGCCACGCCCTCTTAACAGAGACAGCTGCACTGACAGCTGAACAGAGTAAATTATAGCCACTCTTGTTGTAATTTATTCAGTTTCAGCTTTTTTATATAACAATCATTCTTTTGATTGAAGTAGTTCTCTTTAGATTTAAAGTAGTTACTTGTATGCAATGGTTTGGCGTGGTTTGACCAGATTTGAAAAACAAATTCATTCAAAAAATCATTCAAGTGTAATAACCAAAACTGTCCAGAACCAAAAACCCTAGCAGTGAATTTTGGCTTCATATGTGGATCCTATCATTCGTAGTAAGAAGCTGCTAGAAGGGCCTTTAAAGCGACTGCAATCAATAGTTCAATAATAATGGTTAAAAAAACTATATTTATTATGAAAAGGGTTGCATTCAGTGATGAACCCTCAAAAGAATTGTCACCCCTCACCTCTATGGCGTGTTTGACGGTCTTTTTAGCTCATTGCTTTCATTTCTCAGCCCACATCTGAACTGTTTTGGTTCACCCTCACCACCGCTCTCACGGTGCCGTGTTCAGCCACAGCAGGCAGCTGTTCTCAGCAAAAAAAGCTCTAAAAACCCACCGTACACTACCTGCTCACCAGCAAACAGCAGACAGACACAGTTAGAGACCAGCAGGTGAACATAGTGGAGCATTCAGGTGGTGGAGACCACAAGTAGAGCGTGAATATCGGACTTACATCAACTAGGTGGCTAGAAACTCAACTCGAAGTGAATGTTAAAGCCTTCCTTCCTTCGTTCCTTCCCTCCTTAGCTCCATGAGCTGGAATGCATAAAAATCTCATGAATGTTCCCACTGTGTTTGTTTGTTTTTTCCATCCTTTCATTCTTCCCTCCTTCCTGCCTTGTGCTCACTAAGCCTCCATGTGCTTTAAGTAAACATCCAAACAATCAGTTGTGTTTGAACTTGTGAAATCAAGAGATCCACTCGTCTCTTTCTGTGACAGAGACGGCAACAAGAAGCTCAGTATTTAAAGCACAGAGCTCTGTCATAAAGAGTCATTTAGCCACTCGTGAGCTACAGAAACACGAGAGAAGAAAGAAGTTCAATCAGTGAGATGAGAGCCCTCTTTGCACTTTCTCCTGCCCGTCTGATCCTCTGGGTGCCACAGTCTGTAATTCATGTCTTCTTCCATTCCCCTGAGCTTTCCCTGCATGTGTACGTGTGTATTTATTGACACCCTTTTAATCATGGGATAACCACAGGGTTTCTTCTCACAACTTCAACAACAGAGACTTTAGAAAGTACGTGGCCACACACACTTACACACACACACACACACACACACACACACACACAGACACACACACACACACACACACACACAGACGGTGCACAATAGATCACACAATGATGAAGATGCTCAAAGCAGCTTCTAAAACGTGCATCTTGTATCCAGATTGTTTCTGATGTAGCTGGATTATATTTCCGCACTAGTTTACATGAATGTAAAGTAATTCAGTAAATGTACTGAAGTCAGACTTATATTTGTGACTTCCCAACTTTTATTGAATGTTGTAAGTGTCGGTAAGGTGAAGCGACGTTAAAGAAATGGGTAGTGAAATGTCATGTCAGCATTCATGATGCGTGAAAACTGCTTGACATAAAGAATATCTTCCCTGGCGCGACATTGTGTCCCGATGGTTTGAGACATGCACCACAACTTCCTTAGTTGGATTCTGCTCGGGAGCTTTGTTGAGTGTCATCACACACTCTCTCTAGTCCTGCATTTCCCTTCTTTCCTTTCTATATCAACTTTAAAAATGAAGGGAAAAAAAAGGCCAAAGAATTCCCTGTTTCTTATCAGTTCTTGGTTTTATCCACCTCCAGACCTCCTGGATATGCAAGTTTCAAAGAAGAGACAAATATGCTTTGAAAAGAGAGAAACTTTCAATTGGTCTTTGATTTAACGAACAGAAGCAAAGCTATGATGAGCCTGTGTACAAAAGATCCAAAGCCGGCTTTAACCCACAGCGACAAGATCCTGTCGATAGCTCAGTACAGTTTTATATCAAACAATCACAGTGAGACTTATAGACGTCAAACAGAAGGGAAGTGATATTAGATTTCTTTAAGAGGCGGTCTACTGTAGCCCAAAGCTAAGAGGCATAAGCTTGTTTTAATAGACGGATGAAAGTAAAGGGAAAATGAAAGATGAAAGTTGAAAGAGTATGTTTTTGTACGTGTGTGAGTGTGTGGCCTGTTGTTCAGCCTCCCCGCTGTGAGGAATTACCATGGGAGGAGATCGATGCTAGAAGACAGAATGATGAGGTGGTCATTTTAAACACTACCAGGCATGGAAAGCTGTACACACACACACACACACACAAACACACACACAGACCTCTGTGACCAATCAGATGTCTCTCTTGTCATTTCGAAACAGCAATGCCAGATTTGCTAAGGATATGGATGGAAACACATGTGTGTTTGCGAGTTTGTGGGGTGTGTTTTTTCAATGTGTGTGTCCACAGCACACACACATCGATCTGAAGAATTAAGTTAATTTAAAATGACATTAAATCAAATGTATTAACTGCTGAAAAATATGCAATGGTTTTTATGAAAGCGTGTGGATGTGTGTTTTGCAGATCTGTGGCTACGGTGTGAAGGATGATGACTTCACCTGTGTGCCGTGCCCTCAGGGGAAATACTCTAAAGGGAAGTATGAGATCTGCAGACGCCATAAAGACTGTGATGCCCTCTACAAAGCCACGGTCCGCGTAGCGGGAACTCCGGACAGCGACGCTGAGTGTGGGCCATGTTTACCTGGGTAAACAACACACAAACACACACACTCAAGACTCAAAAGCCATTTCTTACTGTATATAAATTAGAAAAAGGCAGATATTCAATCAAATTCAGTAGTAGATAGATCTTTGTGCATGTATCCATACACTTGCTCTGAAGTAGCATGAGTTGACATGTGAACAGACCACCCTGCTGCCTTCAGCTCAGTTCATCCCCTCACTTTGTGCACAAACGCACACTAAATCTTCAACTCCTCCATTTGCACATGACAGCTGTGGATGCAGTCCCTGTCACTTAAAAATATTAAGTCAATAAGGAACGTTTAAATGTTACCAGACTTCCTCTCCACCCTCCTCCTGTTCCTCGCTCCTCCTTCCCAGCATCCATCACTCCCCCTGCACTGATTTCTCGCTACAGACTGACTTGCTGTGTCAACACATAACTGTTTCTTTCTAACAGCGCTCAGCATGTTGTTGAATGTTGAATGCGTGTTCTTTTTATCGTACTTTTTAATCATATTTAATCTGATATTTATGAGGGAATGAGGGAAATATATATAAATATCTTAATTAGGTAGGTCTTGAAGGAATTGGCACAAATATCAGAGACTCATGATTTGGGGCTGTTGGATAACCCTCCCACTCCAACAGGGAGAGCTTAATGTTTAAATCTCCTCCTCCTGTCATCAGTCTGGATGCTGTCCTGCTGCCTCCTAGTTTTCTTGGCTCTCACTCTCCTTTCACAGGATGTTTTTGCTTTTGATTAGCGTGATTGTTGCAGGAACGAGTGCGCTCAGGAACACTGAGTTTGGTCATGTCTATGTCTGCATCTGTACTGTATACAGTATGCTGCGCTGTACGTGTGGGTGTTTTACGCTGCAGTTAACAGAGTCTATACAAGTTTGATGCTGAAAAGAACAGGCCTGAACAGTTGTTATGAAGTTCAGTTGAAGCCTGTAGCTCAGCAGAGGGAAAGGAAAAGATCCGAGAGAATGAGAATGAGTCTGTTGGGAGAAACAACTTCAGTGGCACTTTCAAATAATGAGTGTTTATGATCCACGAGTAAACTGTTCATATGGATTTAATGAATACTCCATTATTCATCATATATTATGTTTTAATAATACATAACCCATCATTCCTAATGATAGTTAAATATTTGTACATCCAGAATAATAGAGTGAAGAAATATCAGAATCATTTATTACTGAATAACTAATAATGTGTGAGATTTTTTTTTTTAAATGTACAACAAAGTATGAAAGTATGAAGGCACCAGTTAACTGCATGTACACACTCATGGATAATTTATTGTGTTCTGAAGCCTAACTGATTTAATGCCACGAGCACTCATTCACAGACTCTGGCCTTGTAGCCTCCCTCTCTCCTTTCCTTTAAGAGACGCGTCATGACTCAGGGCGATATCTGTACCAAGCCATGTTTAGTGCCTTCAGGGCATCAATTATGTGCATTTCTTCACTGAGTCAAACTTTTCACCTCAGCTGCTTCCCCATACTTATAGACTGTGTAGGTAAAGTATGTCTAGAAGGTAGGGAGGCCTCATATTATACACACCTGCCATGCTCAGGTGTGGTGGCAGATTCTTTCTCATGAAGGATCTGTCTCTGTTAAGTCACCAGTAAGCCTAACCAGGTCTTGTGTGGCCCATTTATATAGTGTATGAATTTTTGTCTCCCAGGTATTACATGCTGGAGAACCGACCCAGAAACCTCTATGGGATGGTATGCCACTCCTGCCAGAACGCACCGCGCAACACCAAAGAATGTAAGAGCAACTTCTTCACGCATTCATTTCTCCCTCCCCTTCCTTCTCTTTGTGTCCTTCCAACCCCTCTTCCCAACATCCTCTATTTGCGTCTTCTTTTCAACTATGAATTCCCCTTTTTTTCTTATTCAACATTTATCTTCACAGCTTTCTGTCCAAACACCGACCTGGTTTCCACTCAATGAAAAGCTGCCACCCATTAAAGTTTTCTGTCTAAATGAAAGGAAATAAATGACGGCAGGCTGTGCAAAAGCAGATGTACTGCATATTAAAAGCCTGGACAATGTTTTAGTGAACACTCCGAGGTCAGATGTTGTGCCGAGTTCTCTCAGGCAGTCAAGCAAATAATACTTTCTGATATTTTGGAAATTGTATGTTTGCAGTTGACAGTGGTGATGGTGCACACAGGAGTATAGCAGCCGTGTTACAGATTAGAGTTACATTATAGAGTATGTGAACAACTTTGATTATTCTGTACCTCTTAAAGTAGCAGAAAACAAAAAGGTTATAATCCTTGCCTTTGTGATTTGTCACAATACATTATTGAAATCAAGCTGCAGTATCATACTTTATTGTATTTTTTTAATTTCATAATCATTTTCAGTCACCGGTGTCTCCTTTGGGGTGATTTCCTAATTGATTACAAATAGCCCCTGCATGTTTTTCTCATTGTAAATCGGATAATTATAGTTAATTATAGTAATTATACTTTTAGTTGAAATTCATCAGTTTTAAAACGAGTAATAAAATCTTTCTCGTCTTTTCCATTCACAGTGAAGTTGCATATATCCCTGTTTTCACCCTGTTCTACTTTCCTCATATTTGCGCTACCTCTACTTCTTTGTTATATTCTTTTTAAACAGGGCTCACTACTCTTCGCTTGTAATTTTTCATTACTCTGAGTTTAAACATACATAAATCTGTTTTAAGACATGGATACAGTTAAAAGGACCATGAAAATCAGACTTCAATCCATTAGAATGTGATTAGATATTGATGATCTGTCTTCATGGCCTTGTTATCAAACTACTGGGTATCAGTATCAAAATTTAATCAAGGAGATGAATAGACTCCAAATGTAATTTCACATGTTTAAGTAATTTTCTGTAAGGTGATAATTATACATATCATAAACATGACAGTCCAAAAAGATTACTGTGAGCTGCGGAGAACGAGCCCAATATTTCCACCGTCCTACTGTGCCCTCTGTGGCTTTGTCCAGAGAGGCATTTGTCCAAATGAGGGAGCATCTGAACACTGTTTGACCCTCACTGATAGAGACTGCTATGAGAATAATATTTATGGGCTCACAACTGCTCAAAATCCCCTTTGAGTGTAATTGAAGAGCCCAGAAATGAATGGTGTTGTTATTTTGTCATATTTAATGAGTGTGTTTTGAAGGATGAAAACCCCAAAAAGCAGCCCAGGCCTGCAGAGAAGAGGGTGTGAAGTATGAGCAGCAGTATGTGTGTGTGTGTGTGTGTGTGTGCGTGTGTGTGTGTGAATAAACACTTGCTTTTCAACAGCACCCTAATTGTTTCTCCCAGGCATGGAAATGAGTGATTGATTGATGCTGTGAAGAAGTGCAAATAATAGAGATAGAATGATCAGACAAAAAACATCTATTATGGCAAATAATTTCATCAGACCTCAGATTTGTCAAGCTTATTTGGGAAGTGCTATTTTTGTGCTAATTTCAACATCTGTAAAGAAATAGATGGGTTTGTTTGGGACTTATTTCCTACACAGAATTAGATGAGAAAATTGATACCACTCCTGCATCTGGCCTTTCAGTATAAGGCCACAGCTGTTAGCTAGTTAGCTTAGCGAGAATAAAGACTGGAAATAGATAGCCTGGTGCTGTTTGAAAGCAAGTTGTTGTTTTTACACTTTGGCTTTTTTATGGGCTAAACAAGCAAGCTACAATGTATTATTTGTTGGAGCTTCAAGGCTGCCACTAGGTGGATTTTGTTACCACTGGAATGAGCTAGGGTAGCTGTTTCCCCCTACCTTCAGTCTTTATGCTAAAACAAGCTAACAGGCTGCTAACTGTAGCTTCATATTTTGCATACAGACTCAGCAGTGGTATCAAAATGCTCCTCTCACCCTCAGCAAGAAAGCTAATAATTTTCCTCTCTCGTGTGTCATGTGAAGATTTCTCATGAGAATAACCTGATAGTTTATAGCCTTTCAGGAATTGATATAGGTGTAATTACTATTGTGTTGTATCAGTTAGTAGTAGGGATTAAACTCCAGCAAAGCGAGCTGGTCCTGCAGCACAGTTACTGACATAAGTTTGATTAGCTTGGATAAAAAGATAACGTCACACAGAGCATCCTCTATTTCTCCCTATCTGTTAAATCAGGCTGTGGTACATTTTAATTTAATCCTTTTAAATGAGGGCACCCCACCCCACCCTGATAGTGAATAAAAATGGAGCTAAGAGCTGGGAGTTCTACTTGCTCAGGGTGAAGGCAGGCTGACACTCGCCATGTAATCTGTAAATTACCCTGGCTCCTGCCTAGCTCTGTTTGTGTGATAATTAAAACTTCAGTGGGTATGAGAAAGAAAGATGATTAGCATGTTAGTGCTTGCGCTGATGCTACTCTTTGGCAGGCAGATATGATGAGTCGGAAAGGCATCACTTTTTGATTTTCATTGACTATCGCTGGCATTTGACCCTTTTACTATCAGCTGCCGATACACCTAAATACTTAAAAAAGATTGTGTTTTCACTGTGGACAGACTACAGACTGCACTAACTATAAGAACACACTTATGGACCAACAGAGACACCAGACATGTGGTTTATATCACAGTTTACACAGAAGTATTTTTCAGAGGTTATACCCTTCGATTCAGCCCTGCTTACAGAGGTATCATGATTCTCACCTCAAACAAAATGCTTTGATTTTTGTTATATCTACACTGCTCGGTAATTCTGTTCCTCTCAGTTTGTTTGGACCAGAGTATCCAGAGTGCCTTGAAGAATTATCATTTTGCAGTGTTTGTTCAGCCTTTGAGACGTGATTAAGAGATGAAACCGCAAGACGCTAAACAGAATTCCAGTTCAGGCTCATATCCTTATCCAGAGAGTGTAAACACATACTCCAAGTTAATGTCTGCAGCCACAGGGCACTGATGCGTGTGTGTGTGTGTGTGTGTGTGTGTGTGTGTGTGTGTGTGTGTGAGGACATGAGTCTCAGAGACCACGGGAAGCGGTGGAGGTGTACAGTATATCAACTTAGGGAAATAAAAGACTGATTAAAATAGCTGATTTATGAGCTGCCAGGGGTTTACAGCTCCATTAGGAGTGAGGAAATGCTGAAATGTTAATGCTTGCAATAACATCATGTGATGCAATACTATTCGAAAAAAAAATTATTTTATGGAAAACCATCCATAAAATGCAAGGCCAAAGCTAACATGCCATCACCAGTGAATGATGGAGTATGAAGTCCACCAGTAACAAACTGAAATCTTACAATTTTTCTTTTTTTTTGTTGCCTTCCTCTTGGAACAATCTTTTTTTTTCTTGGAAGAAAATAGTGATGCACTATTTATCCAACTATAAAAGGAATAATTAGCTTTTTCTCTTTCATGCTGAGATTTAAATGAGAAGATTGATACCACTGTCACATCTGGAGGGTAGGCTTTGTGTGTTGCAGCCAGTTAGCTTGGCTTAGCACAAAGACTGGATACAGGGGGAATCAGCTAGCCTGGCTCTGTCAAAAGGTAATACAGGTTAGCCGTTTCCCCCTATTACCTGTCTTTGTACTAAGCTAAGCTAACCAGCTGCTGGTAGTAGCTTCATATTTACTGTGAGGACATGATAATGGTATTAAATTTTTCAGCTAACTCTTGGTAAGAAAGCAAATAACCAAATTTCCCCAAAACATTAGACTGTTATTTTAATCAAAATTAACAGTTTTGCTGGTTCTAACAGTTTTACCAATTTCACAGCGACAAAGGTTTAAATTCATCTGTTGGCTGTGTGTGGAGATAAGACATGCAACTGTGCTGAACTAGAAAATAGAAACTCAAACTTGATCATAGATAAGATTGTGTGTGTTATCCTTCTGATAGCAGTGCTCTATGGTAAGAAGTAAATGTAGTTAAGGTTTTGCAGGTAATAAATGTATGAGCGAATAGCAGGAGAAACATCCACAGTTAATGAACTAGTACTGAGGTGTGTATATGTGTGTGTTTCACAGGCATGCAAAGTACTGGACCAGGAGAAAAACCTCAAATTGACCCTGGCAGCACTACTGTGTTCCCTCACCCAGATAAAGGTATCTGCAACACGCGAACACACACACACACAAGCTTCATCTGTCTCCTGTTAAAATCCATTTTTTTTTAATCTATTTTCTCAAACACACACACACCACTAAATCATTGGCTCTATGCTTTAGGTTCCAATGGACAGGGTCACCTAGCAACGGCTCTCATTATCGCCATGTCAACCATCTTCATCATGGCCATCGCCATTGTTCTCATCATCATGTTTTATATCCTGAAGGCCAAACCCAGTGGCCAGGGTGAGAGACACACACACACACACACACACACACACACACACAGCACACGACATGCGGGGAAGCTGTTAATTCACCAACACAAAACACATCGCACGGAGGCCACCACACGAACCGCAAGCACAGCAGCACCACACACACACACACACACACACACACACACACACACACACACGGCATTTGTGTTTAATGATGTTTTGTGTTTGTGTGTCTGCAGCATGTTGTTCCGGACAAGTTGTGAAGGCAGTGGAGGCTCAGACCAACAAACAGGAAGACAAGAAAGATGTCCCTGGTGAGACAGGATACACACACAAACACACATGCACTCAATGATTAATGAGCTAACACAGACTTTAAGCTTCTTAATGACTTCCTGTTTGGTGTCTCTGACAAAGGGACTCAGTTCCACTTTCTAGCAGTAGAAACAATGAATTTGTTTACATGCACATTAGTATCATGGTTATGAGCCTTATCCTGGTTTTCATTATATTCTAGATTTGATGTTTACATGAAACATAAGTCATCTTGTTGTTCATATCCTTGTATGCATCATCCTAACACTATCCACATTTTTGGCCATATGTATGGGTTCATGGAAAGTTTATGATTTAGCACTCCATCTAGCAGCAAATTCAGGTTTCTCAAAACCGAGATAAGGGCTTTCATCCAAGTTTTTGACAACAAGTTAATAATAATAATATGATATTTAAATGCAAAAACAAATTCTTGCAATACTCCAAAAATAAGTTTAATAACTGTGAATTTGACTTTCATTTCTAAGAAGTCTACACATTAAAATAGTTACACTTTTTTTTCTTTCATAAACCAAAGTTGGTCAATCAAAGTCCACAGTACTTTGAGATTATACAGAGTACATACTATAAGATATTTCTTTTGTAATTCAGAAAGTGCAAAATGATATATTGAAATAGTTTCTTACAATGTTAAAAAAATTTAAAAAATTTAAAAAAAAATGCAGAAAATACAATACTTTAGTGACAGTAGAGACAGTTTATACTGAACTGTCTGTACAGACCATCTGACATTCTCAGTTTTCATATCTGAAAAAATAAACACGTCACTGATCATTACTGTGCCTCCATAAACTCCACTCGCACATTGCACAATTCCTAAAGAAGCCTACAAAATATGCACTCGATAACAGTTTACACTTGAACGACTTAAAAACACACTCCAAATAGTACAAAAGCACACAAAGCTACATGATTATAGTAACAAGACAAACTATAATTATTTTTTTTCTTACCCTTAGCTTTAACAACTGTAAAATTACTCCAAAGTACCCAGAGCAACACTGTATATAATTTTACTCAATCCTGCAGCAAAATCCTTTCTAACCGTAATTTACGTAACTGTATGACTGGCTTACTTGTTAAGCCCAAACATTGTATGTTATCTGTGGTCAGGCCTGCATCCCCAAAAAGATTATCCAACACTGAGCTCTGGGCTCAGCTGTTACTGATTTCTTAAAAATTGTAGCTGCAAATAGCATTTCCTTTTTTTTAACTATTTCATTTGAAAAAGTGTTTCCATCTCCTGAACAGCATGTATTCACGAATGAAGGGACACTTGAACTCTTAGTTCGTGTTAAGATCTGACCTACAACAACCTGTGCAATGCACATCACATCTGTATTAAATATGTATCAAACAAATTGAATCATCTCATCTAATCTAAGTGAATCACATTTAAATGTTAATACAGTTCTGTCTCCTATTTGTCAGTCCAGTTTGCTTGTGCATATATATGATGATTTTTAGCATGATTTATGCAAATGCAAGTGTGTGCTCGTGTACTTAAAGTGTGTGTGTGTGTGTGTGTGTGTGTGTAGGCTGACAGACCTGCAGCATGATGAGTACATCATGGTGGAATGTGAAGCTGCCAAAGCTGAAGCCATACGTTGCTTTAGGCGCCATTTCTCCTGACAATGATGCTCTGTTCAATTTCACTGCCAGACTGACTGACTAACCACTTACATGTGGTGTGGATGAGAACACACACATACACACTCACACTTACTGTGGTCACAAACACATTATGCAGTATAAGGAGGTCACTAACTTAATAATGTAATAGCTAAAAAAACATAATACAATGGTTAAAGTATGATTAGAGAATAAATATCTGCATTGTTAGTGAATGTTACATTATTATGAGTGTGTGTGTGAGTGCATTTTAGATGGCTGGTGTGTGTGTATGTGGGAGAGAAGCCCATCGCTCGGAGCTCTACCGGAGCTAGCTGTCACTCATGTAGACACTGACTTAATAACTCAGTGAGATGAAAGACACAGACGTTTAAATTCACACACACTCTCTGTTTCTCTCTCTCTCACTCACACACACACTCTCACACACACACACACACACACACACACACACACACACACACACACACACACACACACACACACACACACACACACACACACAAACATTTGTTCCACTTAGGTATTCACTCATTACGCTGTCTATCCCTATCAGTATCCATGATGTAAGTGTAATTTAACATAATAGTCACCGTAATCATTTTATACAGCGTTCCAACTGCAGTTCCTCTGTTCAAGGTGTAAATCCTTTTAGTCTAAAGATTCTTTGTTCTTTTGTGTTCTCCATCTCATGCAAAAGTCTATTAAAAACTCCAGGTTTAATCCAGTCTTAGTGACAAAAGAGCACACAAAATACCATTTGAGATCTTTTCTGAATTTACATCTTTAAATTAGCAATGGCATTACTGAAGTTCTCTCGCTTTATTTGATATGTTTGAATTTATGAGGAAAAAAACAAAAAACAAACACCTGTAAACCTCTATGTCTTCTTGTTTTCTCTCGTAGACAATGTGGTGATCTACTCAGAAAAAGACGAGTTTGACAAACTAAAAGCTACTCCCCAGAAGACGGTCAAAAGGTGAGACACACCTGTTGATTCACACTGTTACTCCTTGGTTGATCAAACGAAGAGCAGACGCACTTAAAGGATTCTCAGTGATTAATGGTTAAATCAACACAGCTTAACTAACGCTCTGTGTAGCGGGAGAATCAAACCCAGGATTTGGTTTAAAAAAACAAAAACAAAAAAAAACATCATACAGCTGTTATGAGCTGTAAAATATGTTTCCAATGGAGGATATGGTCCTTCATTGATTATGTAGTTGCTTCAAGTTTTTCTTCTCTAACTTGACTTCCAGCTGTATTTTAATGAATCCACTGAGGTTTGAAAGGGATTTACAACACTTACAAACTTTTCTTGTACAACCAGCCCATTTTCACACCAACACAATTGCCTTGTATTAACTAATGCAGCATTTTAATGTTTGTCTGTGAATTATATTATCTTTATGTGTGTATACCAATTATGTATATTTATGCATCATTTTGTGCTAATAATGTGCGTTATGAATAATTGTCCGTGTCCTGTATGGATAATATATTGTGTACACATATTTGTTAAACACAGACATTGTAGCCTGATCTTTGAGTTTGTATAATTGGTGTGTATGTGAGAGTATATGTGTGTGTGTGTGTGTGTGTGTTTGCATTTGAATGTGGCGACACAGAGACGCTACACAAAAGAAAGAAGCTTTTATCATTTTCTCAGCATCTGCCCGTAATTAAGCCACCACAGAACAAGTCACTGCAGTAGTAGTATCATTGCTGCTGGCCTTTTCTTTTTTTTTTTGCTGTATCCACGTATATGTGTGTGGGTGTGTGTGGGTGTGTGTGTGTGTGTGTGTGTGTGTGTGTGTGGCATGTTAAAAGCAAGTTCAGCTGAGTTTTTTGTTTGTTTTTAATGAAGCACACAGCCATTATGTGGCTTTGGAGCGAGCAAAGAGGTGGGTTTTGGCGGGGAGAGGGGGTGAGGTATAACATAGATGAGCCCTGAAGGCAAGCAAACACTGAGAGACGGACAGAGGAGGTAGTTGTCGGAGTGGATAGGGGTATTTATTCCAGGCTTCACCTAAAACCACCACCAGGTGAAAGCACGTCCTGGCAGACAACAAAAGAACGACAGTTTTCTCACCTTCGTCTTTCTGCATACATCTCATCCCCCATGTGCAGACAATGCTGCTTTATAGGCACTAGTGGCTAATGTGCAGGAGAAGTGTGGAAATACATGATAGCTCGCATACCCACAGTGAACCTTTGTGCTCAGGGTGTTATAGTGCTTGCAGCATACATGCTTAGATTGATATGCTGTTCAAATATATGGAAGGGATATAAATTAGAGCATGCGCACACACACACACACACACACACACACACACACACACACACACACCTCAGCATCAATAGCAATAAGCAGTGTGGTATAGCAGCATGCCAAAGGATGTGCTAACTCACTAGTGTGGCTGCCAGTGTGGGTGTTAGATGTCCGGGAATGTGGGCCATTTTGTGTGTGTGTGTGTGTGTGTGTGTGTGTATGTGTGTGTGTGAGTGTTGAGGAAAAGAGTGTGGGACTGCGAAACAATGGCAGTCTCTGTCAACAAGGTGCTTTTGCGAGAAAATCCAGAGCAAGCACAGAGAGGGAGAGGATGGGTAATAAAATGATATTACACGGTATCATGTTGTAAAACGCCGGGCTATTTCAGTCAATCACAGGAACAGCTTAGAAACATCAGCAGCTATAGCAACAACAACAGCATTCTTCTACGACTCATTGTCACTGGTCAAAAATCCTGTTAAGTTTGCAAAGACAGAAGTCATTCTGTGTGCATTAATTAGAGGCTACTTACCTTTAATTATGTTCTACAACAGCAAAACTAGATGTATGGCAGACAACTAGAACCAGAATTAGTGCTTATACACGGATATGTCTAAGAGCAAAGCAGCAGAGGGAGGGAGGTGACATTTAAGAAGATAAAAACATTCATATCAGGGGTAAACACTCAGTTGCCCGTTCATTAAGCAAATAGGCTAATTAACTGTCAACTGAGTGTATTTGCAATTTACCTAAAATTATGAGTTTTTTGTTTTGCAACAATCTTTGTTCATACAGACATACTTGCTTGGAGATTTTCATCTCTGTACAATGAAAATAAGATGGAACACATTTTACCGCAAAAGGGAAATGTGATTACGTGTGTGTTACTCTGGCTTTTGTACAGATTAAACAAGACATGATCTGTTAAATAGTGAGCTTTATCTGTGCTGATAGCTGTGTAGATACGACAATGGTATCGATCTTCTCATCTATCTTGGCAAAAAAAACAAACCCGCAGTCCTTGAACTATTAAACAACAACAAAAATAAAAGAATCAGATTTAAGTAGGTACTAAAATGTGGATGTTGCATGTGTACTACTAATAAACATTGTGATAAAAAAACAGTACAAAATATATAACACTCATGTTGCACTTTTAATTGTTAGCTGTGTCGCATAGCCCAGAATCTATAGCTTCTATGTAGGAGCTCCAGCAAACTGGGCTGGAGACTGTGCACATTTTTTAACAGTGTGCATGATCTCAGTGTTTTATGTAATACCAGAGAATATGTGCACATGTGTTCAAACATCTGTCTTTGTGTGCGCAGTGAAAACGACGCGTCATCAGAGAACGAGCAGCTGTTGAGCCGCAGCATCGACAGTGATGAGGAGGCAGCATCTGAGAAACAGGGATCAGCTGACACCAATAACCCCAACCCTAACTTGTGCCTCGTCAACCTGGGCAATAAGCCCGACCTCTGCCTGCTCTCTCTGGGGCTGCTAGAGAGCGACCGTGCCTGCAACGGGACCCCCACCATCACAGCTGGCCAGGCCAACAACATCCCAAGTCCCAACCACATCGGCAACGTCAACCACATTGCCAGCACTAACCACATCAGCAGTGTGAACGCCATCAATAACAACAATAAAACCCCAGGGGTAAGAAAGAAGGAGCTTTTTAAGATGTTACTGCTGTAAAAAAATATGATTATGAACAGATCCTCAGTTCAGTGTCATCTGGAAATCACAAAGTGCTGATATTTTTTTTTTTTTCTTAACCGCACAGATGCTACAGAATCGAAGGAAAAAGATCCTGGATCTATATGCCAGAACCTGCAATGTGACAGAGGGTAAGTCTGTCAGGAAAATATCCATCTTACCGAGCCTTGTAATCAAGAACTGATTTCTGCCAATACTATGGGGGGCCTTTTGCTTTTTCTGGTTAGGAGGAACTCGTTTTATAAACTGTGTTGTAAGTGAGAAATTATAATGACTGTCAGTTTCAAGAAAATTGCGTCAGGAAGTCGTTGCATCACTACACTGGCCATCACTTCCACAAGTAAACAAGATTCAGACTAAATCAATGGCTAGAATTAGTGAAGAACTAAAGACGTGTGCATGTTTGTTTAAGGAAATAATATTTTTAGACAATACTCATGATATTTCAGTCTGGAGCAAAATGGTGGACAGACCAACCCACCCACACTGCCATCCCTGGTGCAACCCCAATAACATGACTAAAAATGAAGTTTGATTCAAATTCCAACATAAGTGACTATGTTAGTGTAATATTCAGTCGGTTCTAACACTGCTGTTCTTCTCCAGGCCTGAGCCCCACGGAGCTTCCCTTCGACTGCCTGGAGAAGGCCAGCCGCATGCTGAGCTCCTCCTACAGCAGCGAGGCGGCTGTGGTGAAGACTTGGAGGCACCTGGCCGAGAGTTTCGGCCTGAAGCGCGATGAGATCGGCGGCATGAGTGACGGCCTGCAGCTCTTTGAGAGGGTGAGCACGGCAGGCTACAGCATCCCCGATCTCCTGACCCGCCTGGTACAAATCGAGAGACTGGACGCCGTGGAGTCACTCTGCTCGGACGTGCTAGGCAGCAATGAGGTGGCGGCAGCGGCCGGTCGGCAAGGCATAAGCAGTTTTCACAGCCAGCTGGTCTGTCCATCACCATACCCATCTCCCTCCCAACGTTGTGCCAGTGTCTAGATATGTGGTGCAGCATGGACTTCAGAGACTTGGATGCCTTACAGTATACATATATGTAGGGACAGACTCTGCTCTGACAAGAAGGGCAGTACATATACAGTATAAACATTACCCCCATCACATGAAGAATATCAGTGGACCTTCACAGGCACAATCCTTTTCTCCCATCATGGGTATTCTCTGCTAAGAAGCTAGCCATCTGAAAGACTCCGTATGGCCTTCATTTTTGTCTTTCTAAAGTGTTTGAGAAACACAAAAATAAAGGATTCTTCTGATTCAGATTATTCTCTAGTTTGGTAGTTCAGGTATTTGCTCCTCTGCAAAAACACCATAGTCAGAATTAGTTTCTATTTTATTTGATTTTTGCCTTTATCAAATTCTATGGAATTTTAGCAAAAACAGCTGGTTTAACTGTGCGCTGGGCGCAACAGAAGAACATTTTAAAGCAAAAACAAAATTCAGCAAGCAATTTTAAAAAGTGCCTTTCTTGGCTATAGTCCATTGTAAGTGGGTGTAATGGGGATGCCTTCTTCGCTGTCCTCTCACTGAACCTTCTGCTCCATCCCGCTGCTGACATGGCTCGATTTGTGTCTGTATAAAGGAGGCGACCTGGTTTGACCGCAGCATCAGTTAACATTCATGACTGCGCCTTTGGCTGTGCTGTCATCATATAGGAAAGACAGCAGATAACGAGCCCCCTACTTAGAATGCAATCATTATGGCCAGCTGGAAATGCTAAAACATCATTCAGCTCCACTTTCATCTGGTAAACATTGCTTGTGAACTCTGGGCATTCAGGGACACCCCTGTGTCCCTTGCTGAAACGCGATGTCACCAGCAGAAACACAACTGTAGTCAAGAGTAGATTATGGTATTTTAATTTTTAATGAATTATCTGGGGACATTGTGTCGGCACATTTAACTAAATGCTTAAGGCTGATCTTTGGAGTGTCAATCCCATACAGTTCATGAACACAGTATTTCTCTGCTGTTTGTGCTATGCCTCAGCACAGTATGGAAATCTACAACTTTAACACACACACGGACAAGCATGCTCTCTTGCTACAACTACTTCCTCAGCAGTGACCCAGTCTGTGACCCCTCCCTAATAATATCCCCCCTCCCCCTATTCCCCTTTTACCCCAGTGCTGAGGTCTAGTGCTGCCGCCAGTCCTAATTATTTGGCGTGTGGCTCCGCGGGCCCCTAATAGGCTGAAGTGTTGTGGTTTACAGAGCGGGTGCAAAGTGCCTGTGATTTCCAGCACCCAATTAAGCATTTAGGGCCACTTAACCACTGAAAGCCCAGTGGAAAAGCTGTAAAAACCCTGCATTAAAAGAGAGATGCCACAGCAGAGGCATGACTAACTGCCCCCGGGTTTTTTGCAGTGTGAACGGTGCAAGAATGCAGCTGGTCGTGGTGGAAGCAGCGCTACGGTCGTCCTATAACAACTGATCTTTCTCAGCTTTTGTGGTCGACTCAGTCATGCTCAGACAGGATTTAAGCTCCCCTCTACCCTATGGGACCAATATAGCAAATGAGAACAATATGCAGTTGTGTGAGTTGTCCACTTCTGAAAAGCAGCTGAGGCCAGTTCAGTGCTGTATGTATAGAGACTGTGGGAGACTAAGCATCATTGTGAGGAGCGTCACATTAAGGGCTCATTTTAGCTCCATTAATAGTGATGATGTTAAAAGATAAGATGCTGCAGGTCAACGTCCTGTTTTCTCTAGTGGTTAAGCTTCAAAACTCAGCAGTAAGCTGTAAAATTCAACTTGCTTTGATCCCATTTCCTGGGAATAGGACTGATCTTTATCTAATGCCTGATGTTGTCAGCATAATGTCCCGTGACTGATCTGCACAGAATCAAACATATCACCTGCTGCCAAGTTCTTTTCCTACTGCTTTTTGTTCACATTTTACATTGCAAACTCTGGGGCTGGACTCCAGCACTTTAAATTAATTAATGTGCATGTTTATCAAGCATGTATTCATATTTTATTTCCTTTAAGATCTGCCTTTTGTCAAGGCAAATAAAAAGCTCACATTAAATGCCTTCTAAGTGCCTTCTTAGAGCAGGGTTGTTTTCATCAGATCCAATTCAATTCAAAACAGGTTGAACTAATTATTTTTTTCTGTTTTCTGTTTTATGCTGTTGAACTTTTGTAAATAATCTAATTGCTGGATTGAATTGAAATGAAATGGATCCAAGCCCTGTTTTCAGGCAGGCACAGATCTTGTCTGACATACAGTATATTATGCTGATAGGATGATACAGAAGCCAAACATGGATTACTTACCTCAGTAGCACATACAGTATAACAGAACATGTAGAAACACACACAAACTCATCACAGAACCAAAGTGTAACTGTATATATAACTTATTATTGTACATAATGTATACATTAATAAAGATGTAATGCAAAACTGCTCTGGCATTTGACTTTTGTTTGAGACACGTCACTATGGATTGGACGCTCAGCAGTTCACAGTACTTGGGTTAACAGTATTATTAAGACCTTTCACAATGCTTATATTGCATAAGTACACTGTTATAGACTTGCCTCAATGCAGGTATTTCAAGCTAAACTAACAAAACTAAGCGTCTACAGCCATGTTAGCAGCTCTGTAAGGCCATATTTAGGCTCAGTGGTGCTTTGAGCTAAGTGCTAAGGTCATCATGCTAACATGCTCACAATGACAATGCTAACATTAGCATGTTAGGCAGGTTTAGTGTTTACCATGTTGACCATTTTAGTTTAGAGTGTTAGCGTGCTAGCTTTTACTAATTAGTACTGAACACAAGGTACAGCTTGATGCAAAATACATGTCATTAGTTTCATAGGTATTGGTCACAAGGTAACCAAACTGACATCTTATCTTCTTAAATAAAGTATCTATCTATCTATCTATCTATCTATCTATCTATCTATCTACCTACCTATCTACCTATCTTGACCTGATGATGGCTAGAGAAAAAAAGTCTGGGGATCACCAGAGTGATTACAGTCCAGTTCAGAGTTAAAAGTAATCTATACAATATTTCTTTTATACATTTCTCTCAAAAGCAGGACTGTCAACCTCATGGTAGAGCAAGAAAAACTCAAAAAAGAAAAGAAAACCCATAACTAAAAAATGTAGTACCAATCCGTCCAATAGTTGTTGAGATATTTCAGTCAGGAACAAAGTGGTGGACCAAGTGACAGAATGTCATTACCATCTATTAAAAATGTGATGTAATTATGCCAATAAAATAAAACATGACCAGCACAGACCCTTAGCTAAATATGAAACAAATAATAGAAAAATAATAGAAATAATAGATAAATCGAAAAATATTTATATTAATAATTATAAAATAATATTATATTTATAAAGATGTACGGGAAGCAAGGAGAGGGATTTTTTTTTTTTTAAAAAACAAACCTAAAAATGTTTTTTTAAACATTAGCATATAAAATGGAGTAATGGAATAATTAACAAAGGTTAAAAGTAGAACATATTATTATCAGTTTCTTTCAATAAGATCAATATCCTTCAATACAACCACCAGTAGCCTATAGTACTGATTAAATATACATATATCAGTCATATATATATCATGTCAGAGGTGAATGACACTGATACACAGTAAATGATCCCATGTAGTGGTCCATCCTAGACTGTTATTCATCAACCATTAAAGCAGACACTGACAGGGTCGGTTAAGGGCTTAGAGACACCAAGTGGAAAATCGCTAATCACACAGCTCATTCAAAACGCGAACAGTTAATTATAGGTCATTAAATGTGACATATTAACTAGATGGTTCATCAAATGAGAGATGATTTCATTGGAAAAAGACTGTAGGACAAGATTAGTAGACGATAACTTCATTCAGGCATTAGTCCTCGCCCTCAAATGTACTTTCATCTCCTCCTCTGGATTGCTACTGCAAAACAAGAGGCCAAACCACTTTCTCCCTTTCAAATTAAACTTAATAACCTGTTTCTCCTTATTGTATAGCACTATCTGTATGAAGGTTTCTACATTTCCATTATTATTTACTGTTAACAAATGATAAAGAACAATACAAAACATTTGTGAACAACATTTTCTAGATACTTTTCAAATGATGTAACCTACATAAACACAATACAGTTTTCTCAACTTGGAGGAATTTTGCCCTGGACAACATTTAATCTTAAATCTTTTTATACTGAAACGTCACATTAGCTACTACAGTTGTCACTTCTGCAAACAACTCTATCATCAGGCTTTCACTGTGTGCGTGTGAGTATTGGTGCCAAAATTCCCATGGCCTTAGCTAAACTATTAGGTGTGTATGTGCTGGCTGGGGATCTTAAGTCTGGTTCATAGAAGTTCTGTCTGGCAGTGCCAGTGATGCTGCTGTGGGGCAACAGGACAGCATAGAGGTCTCTCTCTTATCACGTTTCAAACTCTCAAAATTGCCCACAAATAATCCATCCAACTCGAACAGCGCCTTAGTCTAATAATGCACACACACACATTGAGGAGGTACACGCAGAAGTGTGTGTCTGTGTGTGTGTCTTCAGGGTCTGTTTTTGCGTCTTGGCTTGGCTTTACATGAACAGGGTGAAGCCGTACAGAGTCTCTTCAGGGCAAGGAGTGCCAACCATGAGACTAATTAAACCTCTGCCAGTCAGCTACACCTTTACCCCCAACACAACAAAGTCAAGCACACACTCATCCATGTCAGTCACCTGCAAACACATCAAAGAACAGGAGCACAAGTAATGTCCAGACCTCAGTCAGGTGTATTTCCAGTTGTGTCTGGTTGTGTCTGGAGCACAAGATGAACTGTGTTTGCACTCTGTCATTTTTTTTTTTTTTTTTTTTTTTTTTTTAAGTCATTACTGCAGAGAAATTTTGCAACTGTAATTTTGCTGAAATCTACTGAAACCTTTTCATGCTTGTTAAAACTGTTGCTCATAAGGGAATAGTTAGACAAAGTAACTACCCATAAAACAACTAATTGT